AAAAAAACTGTAAATTATTAAGAAATTTTTAACATAAACAAATATTTAAAAGGCTATATTTCTGGAAGTATTCATCACAGAAAGTCAAATAAAAAATCATTTTAAAGATAATTTAATAAACTTCAAGAAACATGTGTATTTTTTTAAAAAAGATAACTTGAAAGTCCGCCATTTTGAGAAGTTTACCTAAAAACCGTTTCTTTTACGGATATCAAAAATATTATTAGTTGTATGCAAATCGGTCAAAAACCAAAATAATGAAAATTTAATAACCTTTCTACTTGATTTTAACAATTTTTTACGTAGGACTACCCATTTCCGACTTATATTGCGAGGAAATATTTATTCTCACAATTTCCAAAAGTCAAAATTTCATTTAAACCGTAATATTTCTAGAAATATTAGTCGCGCGGTATAACATAAATAATGCATTTTGTAGGTAATTTAATTATCTTTCACTTTCATTGTATGCATTTTTTACTTTCGGACAGCCAGAACTGAGATATTTTGAAAAAACACTCGAAGAAACAGCTTTCCTCATTTGCCCAATGCTTCAAAAAATTCTATCTTGGGAACTAATGGTCGTACGAAGTTCTACAAAAAACCAAATTGCGAGGAATTTTATCAGCTACATTTTCGCTCTGAATGTTCTTTCCCGTAAAACTAATAATTTCCGAGTTATTTGCAAAAAACCCATTTTTGTACTTTTTTTTTTCAAGATGGCGCAGCCGGCTCACGCTCTATGTATGGGGACTTTTAGTATGTTTAAAAGAACACTAAAATGAACCTGTATACCAATTTCCAGCTTGCCGGGAATTTTTTCATCCAAAAATCTTAATTTGACTGGGCTAAATAGTTTATGAGTAATCTTGCACAATAATTTGAAAAACATATGGTTTTGAGAAAAACGCTTTTAAAGTTTTAAGTTCTCGGAGCGCGCGCTTTACTTGCGTAACGCTCAGATATAAAATCGCCTATTTCAAGTTCGAATTTATATATTGGGAACTAGAAATATTATACTAATGATTTATGCAATAAAAATTTTTTTGATTTTTTTGCCCGTTTACATCACGGAGAAAATTTTATATTAAATATTACTATGGTGTCGCACTAGCTGCGGACCATCGAGGAATTATAAGTTAAAATACTATAATCATTGTTTTAAAAACTATAAACATAGTATAAACATAATATTTTAACTTATTATAATTCCTCGATAGTCCGCAGCTAGTGCGACACTATAGTAATATTTAATATAAAATTTTCTCCGTGAGATGAGGCTCCCTCCTTAATATTAATGCCCGTGACGTGTTCTGGATGTATAATGGTTGCGATAAATAGTATGATGATAAATAATGGAATGATAATAGGACGATTTGAAGCTCACGCGTGCACTCTGTCTCATTTCACGAAACACAGCAGCCATTATTTAATCGTATGATTTCCGTTTATTATTAGTTCGCAGGCTACTTTAGTAGAAGTAATCGCAGAAATACATAATTTGTCGTCGATAGATATTAACTAAATTGGTCCATGTGTATTACAGTCTTCTTTGTATAACATTACATATGCGTGACGCATACACATAAGAGATGATAATAGAAAAAAATTGCTTAATTTTGATATACTAATTTTAAAAATCTGATAAAAATTTTTATTGGAATTAAATCGCTTTATCACAGCAGAATAAAAATCTGTACTTTAAATATATCGTACATCTTGATATGTTAAACATTATTTTTTATTTTTACATTCGAGATTCTTCACAAAAAATGATAAAATATTGTATTTATAAATTATTAACCGTTGTATTGCCATATATCAAGATTGAGGTACAACGTGTGCGAATAATCTGTGTAGCCGTGAAGCAAATTTCTGGCACAAGAAGTATTTTCTTTTATCAGCATATTTCTCTTTCTCTCTCTCTCTTTCTGCTTTCAGATTTTGCAAAATATGTGCAGGAACGCAAAATATGTGTGTCAAAAATAAATGATATGGCTTTTAACGTTACACAGTTTCTGATGACAATTTTCTACCGAAGAAAGCTTTTGTGATTCTTATTGAATTAAAATATTCTTTTTTTGTATTTTTCAGGTCTCTTTTAGTTATTCCAAGGGACCTAGAGACGAATGGAATATCCTGAAAATTGATGGTTTTGATGCGAAGGATGATCCAAAGAGGTATAATACTGTCTTGAATTTTATTTTACTCTCATGTGTACTTTCAAAACTTTTCAACATGAAAATATTTTCAAGATGGTTTTTGATGTTGAATCATATCATACTGTTAATTTGCATCAGTACTGACAATTTATGTAAAAACATATAAATTTATATTAATTAATTTTTGCGACGGAAAGTTTTCTCTATTATAATTTTTTTTTTTTGAACTTGCGTGCTCTTTTATGATGCGATGTTACATCATAACATCAAAGCTTTTATTATGTCTAATTATTAACTTCGCGTAGAGTGCTCGCACAGAATACCGGTCGGATAAGGACTCTTCGGGAGAAATAACTAAATTAAAGTACTTTTGCGGTACTTCTGCAAGAAAATCTTATAATATCGCAAATTAACGCTGCCAATATCTATTTATTTTAAACTTTACTTTTCTCAGTTGGACAAGATTATATCATTATCAAGTGAGTTGTGCGACCGCGACAAATTTTTTAATTGAAATAGAAAGTACAGAGATTAAAAAAGATATTAAATATCATTAGTCTTAGTCTTTGCATATCTGCAATGTAGAATAATTTTGACGAAAAATGAAGAAAAATATTAATAAACACACATTGATATATATATAGCACATAGACCAAATTTCATTCTAAATTACTCTGTATCATTTGTGAATATCCTTCGAAATACGTGAAACTATGTTCGCTGTACTCGCGGGTAATGATTAAATAATTCGCTTTCCTCATCAGTCCATCTTAAATAATTCCAGCATGTTTGCGCGCGCGAGTAAATGATCGTTTTGTGAAATGACGGTGCATCTCAAGACATTTGCAATTTGCGTTCGCGTTAATGTACGTGCGCGAAATGCTTCACAACGTTTTCCGTGTAATTTCCACCGAGGAAAGAAGGGAGATGAGTAATTATGAAGAGACGACGTCGCGGCATACTCTTGTAAGTTTTAATTGGCTTTACAATAATTGTGACTTTTACGAGCTCCTTTCCCTTCCCCTTGTCTCTTTTTACCTCTGCCGAGAGAAAGAGATGGTTTGTTTCCTTTTGATGCAAGTTTTTCGCGCCGCGAATATCTGCCAGAATTTTTTACTTAAGTGAGGAATAAGCGAAGTTCTGTTTGTAAAAGACATCGAAGCGAGTCGTTATTGGTGACGTATTACCTCAACGGTTTGTGATATAATCGGAATGACACAAAACGCGGATATTATAAATTGTGTTTTCCTTCGTTGCTCTCCCTGAAGGACGTTTTATTAAAAGTTTGCGAAAATTCGCTATATTGATCGAATTGGTCATATTTATTTAGGTGGCAATTGTAATTTATTGTAGGGGAGACCGGGGCTAAGCCGACAGCGGGGCGAACTTGACACTAGGCTTTTTGCCAATTTAAATCTATCGTAGAAACTTGCCTTTGCTACTGTAAATGCGTCTTTATGTGCCAGTATTATCAACGGACGTTGGTAACATTCTGAGTTATAGTGTAATTTTTAACGCGACATAAGTGTTTTTGATAATGAAAAGTAATTTTTCTGATCTCTCGAAAATGTCTACTCTTTCATCGAGCTTTACTCTTGCGAATCTACCGCTAAGTGATTTTGATGGGAAATTCGATGCTTTATACGAATCCGATAATAATTTTTGCATATTTTCAAAATTTATATATTTTTGGAGTAACAAAAGTAAAAAACGACGTTCGGGGCTAAGTCGACACGACGCCACCGGGGCAAAGACGACACAAACCTAAAGTGACATTATCGCAAAAAAAGGTCACTGTTTCGTCCGATTCCGATGACGATTTAAGGAACATCTGTTGCGTGTGTTCGGAAAACATTTCATTAGCTTCTAATAACAAACAATGCATCTTATGCAACCGTATGGCTCATGACGAATGTTTGCGCACATCTGATCGCGAGTTTACGTGTATAAATTGTTTTTCAGACAGTTCAGAAAAAGATAATTAAAAGTTTAATCTTTTTTTTTCTCATTATTTTAAATAATTGTTTACTATATTCCGACTTTTTTTGTTTCTAATACACAATGTCTTTTCATTTGATAAACAATGTATTTTTATTTTTAAACAATAAAAAAATAAGTTCCAGATCAAATTGTGTCAATCAAACAAAGTGTTGAGTTTGCCCCGGCGGGGTGTCGAGTTCGCCCCGTCATTTTTCAATTCGAAAATTTGTCTTCGCGTCACTTTTCCTTTCCTGGCGGCAAAACAAAGCGACGTACAGCAAAACTTCCTGAATCAATTTTGTACCTGAAGAAACACTCTTTAAATATATATCATTGAATTTGCCTAAAAATTTTAATTAAATATTAAAAATTGCCTTTGAAAAAATAGTGTCGGCTTAGCCCCGGTCTCCCCTATTTATTAGACATGAAGAGTTTATTATTAAGATTGCACGATATTACATTAAAATTTAATATTCTTTTACATGGGACTATCAGGATTTGTCCTAAGCCACTCGATGCAACATTCAAGCATTCACGAAAAAAATGAGTTAAAATTTTCCCGTGCTCGTTAACCGATTTTTTAAGATTGTCAGCTAACAGTCATAATTGAGAGTTTAAAAGACCGTCTATAATAGCCGTAAAAGAGTGCAGTAAGACGTAAGCAGTAAGCTATTGACCAACCACAGTCGATTATTCTTGAATTGTAAAACTCTCATTAGTTAATAGCTTACTTACTGCTTACGTCTTACTGCATACTCTTACGGCTATTATAGACGGTCCTTAAGGACCGTAGGACTAGCGGCCTACTATGGTGGAATACTGTAACTTATAAGTTCAAATCTTGCCTTTTTCTTTTTTTCTAAAATCTGCATTTACATGGATGTAATTGTACAACATATTTTAATAAGAAAATTATTACTAAATATTTATGCTACTAAATCGACATTTGTATCAATTTTATTAATTTTTTACTTTTGTCACACGTCTCCAATTACAAGTTACATATATTAATATGAGCGAATTACCAATAGGAAAAGTGCTTGCTTGAGATATATCAGAATGTATAACATATATGCAAATCAATGTGATACATATGCGTGCGAAGTATAAATCAAGTCTATAACTAAAGTAATTGATATGACAGAGAGTTGAGAAGGATATTGGTACGTTGCTCGTGCACAGAGAACAAATGCGAAACAATTGATCAGACAATAAAGGATCATTAATAGAATAGAGACTTATTAATAGAAATTAATATGCTTAATATAAATATTATATGACTAATGAATATATATTAATTTTAAATGAGATAGAGTTATGTTAATGTAATAGTAACGACGTAGCATAATTTTACATAATTGGTAATTATTTTATGGATAAACATTTGAAATAATCTATATGATTACAAAATGTTACGTTCTTATTACAAGTTTTTCAGGTTACGTATTCTCGTTAATATATGTACCTATATATCTATGTTTCTTTTTGTTTCAGATTTAAATCTATCCATTGCCATCTGTTTCCACAAGTTTTTTATTGCCCGCACATCAGATGATGAAGATTGCAAGAGGCGAAGCAAAATTTATTCCCAATTACGGAGGAAATGGAAGATCAACGTATGGTAAGGAGCATAATTGCGTATAAGATATTCTAGAAAAATTATTTACATTGACGGAAATAGAAATCCCAAATACATATGTTATTTTGCACTTATATTGAGTAGGAAATTATAACGTAAACATATATACGTTACATAGCGTTTGCTAGGTTGTACACAAGACTTGAGCTGAACTCGGGCTTGTGCTATTGCTTATTCATGCTTGTTTGAATTTTACATGGACATTCAGAGCCTTTTCTCAGTCAGTTTTCTATTTTTCCAATTTTCTGAAAACTGCTTTAGATTTATGGTAACCGATACGTTGTACCTGTAAAACAAAAATTTATTACTTTTGTTTGTAACAAGCATGAAAGCTGTGAACTAAAGCTTTTTATTTTTATCCTATTGGCCTCATGAATAGTTTAAACAATTGGTACAATATTACTGTTCCTCTAAAAAAGATAATGGACTTTGACTATCTTATTTATAGAGATATCTGTTTAAATTAGTCACAAAGTCAATAGAATAAAAACAAAAACCGCTTAGTTTCAACAGTTACTAATAGCTAAGTTCCAAGATAACGCCTAGTATAAATTGTGAGGTGCTCCTCGAAAGAACTAATGCGAAATAAAATGTATTTAAAACCTTCTTTTGTTTGAACGTGAAGTTCAGCGTAACTCACAGTATGTGTGATTTATGCAAAGTAAGTATCTTACTTTGTTGTCTTGTTGTCTAAATTTACTATAAAACATTATAGTATATGGCCACAGAATACTGAAACAATTTTTTGATATTATAAGTAATTCTCTGACGATCTAGTTTAATGAGAGATGTTCTGTCAATTTGTCTTATTTGTTAGTGTAATTGTAATTGAGACCTGTTACTCCCTTTCTGCCTCAATTTCTTCATTAATAGATGAAAGAGTTACGTTGATTGTGTAAGGGGAAGTCACAACAGTCAGCGTTCGGGCAAAGATGTTTGTTTATTAATACTTATCGATTAAATCAATGTTAAACGCACATGTGCGACGCAGTTAAATTTTTTTGGTATTCACAATTTCATATTTTTGCCTCTCAAGTACCTCTCAAGTACCTTGATATTTCTTTTGCGTCTGTTGGAAATCTTTTACATCCGCGACTACCGCGATACATTTTATGCAAGTTTAGTTTTGTTTTATAATTTTGAAACTGGTATATGTACATACCTCTTCTCTCCCACGTCACACGTAGCAGTGCTCAATTACTGGGAGAATCAACAGCAATATTTCAAATTGTAATCAGATGCACTCGAACCCGAGTCCTCGTTATACCGCACAGTCCCGTACTACAGTACGAAGAAGTATATGGTATGGGAGACTATTCTTATTAACTCCTGTTAACAAAAAAAATTAACAGATTAGTCTGATTATTTAAAACTGATTCTCTTACAATATTACAATAAATTAGTGTACCATTAGATTGTGTTAATTGAAACTCAAGTATAGAGTGTTTTTTGTTACAAGGACCTATATGAAGGATTACATATAAAGGATTTACATAATTTCATATACGAAGAAGTACCTTTTGAGGTCGTGCTTAGACCGAACCTGTCGCTACTATGACGTGATTTACAGAATATTTCTCCAAGAAGTTTGCTTATCGAGAAAAATATGTTTTTCGATCAGATATTAATGCACGCGATTTGCTGTAATTTCTAAAATATTCGCGTAAGCAATTCATTGCCTCACAACTAGAGTTCTTGCCGGATATAGCTTAAATTTTGTAAATGAATCCAAGAGAAAAGAGAAGAAATATGGGTCGCTTAATTAACTTGCTTTTATTTATGGGACTATAATGATCCACATGGATTGTGCAGAAAAGAATTTTGTCCTTCGATATATGTAGTACACCTGCTGATCTTCCTACGAACTTGCTTAGTTTGTTCAGATATCTGTAGCCAATGGTAAATTGATTTTTATTGATTGAAGACGCTAGTTCGGAAATATTTTTGATGTATGGTATAACTAGGAAGGTCTTTCTTGTCGAAATTATTGTCCGATTCGTCATCATCCCGTTTCACGTTATGTGGGTGTTTTAATTTAACATTGAACAATTTTTAAGGCTAAAATTGATTTGTTTGAAAATTAACTCGAGATTGATTGATTGATTGAGCTTTATTAGCCTTCTCGGCTATTTGCATAACTTGGTTTTTCCTTAAATTAAGTCCTCTACATAAGGTACACGTTTTTCCTTAAATTAAATCCTCTACATGAGGTACAATTAACTTCTTTATTTTATCTCTCTCTTTATTCATATTAAATCCTACTTTAAGCCATGCATGGTCCGTTATTTTATGTTTCTCATTCACTTGTTTCTTTCGCATATTCACATTTTCTACTATTTCTATCTTATCACATAAATGTTCTACCTTGTCAAAATCTACATTATCGATGTTAAATTCTTTATATTTATTTCTCTTTTTATTCATATTAAATTCCACTTTTAGCCATACATGGAGGGGGTTTTAGCCATATATGGAGAGGGTAACCGTTGTCCAGCAAAACATTAACACAGTTTTAAATTTTTTTGGTGGAGGGGGTGAGAAAGTGAAATAGCTCTATCTACAGGGTTATGTCCTCATTTTCAGTATTAGTAGCTAATCTTTTTTTCCGTGCGTCGTAGTCGTCGCCACAAGCGATTCAATCGACGATGTCCTCGGTATACCTAATCATCATTGTTGTCGTGACTTCCGGAGGCGACGACAAAGGTGTCATCTTCGGGTTTAATACTCACAGTGTTTTTCGAGATGCGTATTTCATTGAATTTTGCACTTTTCCTTCGTGCTTCATATTCTCGTTTTTTTTTTATGTCAATTAATGTTTTGTCAATAAAACGTTGACGCACATCCTTTATTGATTCTATGCAATTATGTCTAATAGAAAATTTAAAAAAGAATCGCTTCATCGCGTCTAGTTGAGTGTGATGTAACGAATAGAAATAAAATGATTACACTTACATCTGATTAAACATTTTTATCCTCTTCTCCATACAGTATTCCACTTTAAGGCAATTTGGGGTATTACGCTGTATCTTGTCGACGTCCACGTACAATCGTTTGGCGCTTTCCGCTATTATCAAGGTTTGATTATAAACCGCCTCTCATGCTCTCGTTAGAAGATCCCACGCCAATGGCGCGCGAAATACGTGGTGAATCAGTTTCTTTCCGTTTCTGAGCACGGTCACTTCTTTAATTGTGAACTTATTGCGGATAACGAATCTCTGCAGATCAACGAATATCGGCACGTCGACGTGAACTTGCACGTTTTCCATGGTCTTGCCGAATACCGCGTTGTTCATTAATTTGTACATATTGTATCCACGGGAACTTCACGACGCTCCACGCTTACTGGGAATTCCGTATGTGGATTTTGTTCCTTTATTAACTTACAATTTTTAATTAGCTGCTGTGGCGGAATTAAGCGAGGATGAATTAATCCTTGTTTCCCGAATAATATTCCATTGATCAGGATGTCTTGTCCTGAAACTTTTTGTCAATTGCTTTCTTTGTTTGTTCATTAATTTTGATTGAAATTTATTTCGTGCTGTAATATTTCCATTTCGAGTTTTTCCATAATTTCCCTAAGAATGTTGATGGTTTCTATTTTTCACGTATTCACCTTCTAACATGTAAAGCTGCTTTCTTATCTTCAGAGTAGCGTCATACAATTCTCCGAAACGCGTTTGTAAAGCTTATCGAAAAGAATAAGCTTATCGAAAAAGAGATGGATCGATACATTCTATTATTTGTCAGAGTTTCGGGAATATTATTTTTAGTAAACACGAGAAATAAGATAATATTTCTGTCGATTATTCAACGGACATTTTTGTTTCAAGCGTTACTCGCAAAACGTTTACTAAAAATAGCGAAAGAGAATACATTTACGTAACAAACTTCGCCGATGAATATGAAAATTCGAACAAACGATTTAATAAAGAACTATTGACAGAAAACCGCCCGCCGTTTACTTAAACCGCCCGCCATGCAGAGCCGATTTAACTAATTTACTTTCTTTTGGGTTTCTCTTACTTTCAAACAAGAGATCACGCGAACAACGAGGGGTTCATACTAAACCGTAAGAGAAAATGGTTAGAACGAAAATAATAATCAGCTGAAGCGAATCTAACCAAAATATTCTTTGAAAGTCCCAATCTTCGGGTTTACTTTTATACTATTCAACATTACTTGGTAGCTTGAGCTATCGAAGGTCCAACTGATCCTTTTATTAATTCATTCTCAAGTAACGAATCGTAAATATCCGCATCTAGTAATTAAGTTGATTGAACAAGGTTAAAAGAATTCAGGTTTGCCAATTTAATACCTTCTAAATGAGGCCACGAATGTCGAGTTAAATCAACCGAGGGAATAGAAGTGGTTAACTTTGGAAGAATATATGTCGAAACAGTCAAATCGAAATTAGAATTGAAGTGTGATTTCTGTTTACCTATTCCTAGTAGATAGCAGGATTCAATAACCATTGTACGGCAATGAAAGCAATCAATTGCTCGTCTGGTACGGATTAGTAATTGATAACATCTTCCACAATGGAGATCCGTATGCACGAATGTTCGCGAGATCGCGTGTAATTGTCGCTACACGGCATTCAGTCGGTTGTATATACAAAAAGTGTGTCGCGCACTCGGGACACAATGCTAGTTCCGCAGCGATCTGCACGTACCACGCTGAATGGCAAATTAAGTTATATGCTAAGTTATATTCTATATACGGGTTTAAATAATTACGGTAGTACACGGGCACCGGCAAGGGTTGTGGGGGTCTAAGCGGCGGCGGTGAGTTCTGAGGGATTGAAATAGGGTGCTCACCTATCACGTGACGTCGATAACTGGGCTCAGTAATGCTGTCGTAGGATGTCGATGGTTCGCCTTGAAGGGGGCTGCTGCTCGTCGGATGTCATCGTATACAAGTTAATATCTTATTTCTAAAAGACAATATATTTTGTCAAACTTATGTCTATAAAATAACTGAAATCGTTAGTGTGGCATAATAATTCATATCGAGGTATTATTTATTAAATCGCTATGGTTATTATAATTTATTCCGTCATAATTCGGGCGAGAAATAGCATTAATACTAGAGCGCTTATAAGCAATACAGTCCCTTCCAGCCAGTACGCTGAAAAGTATAATATTCGTAAACAAAATTTAGCGCAAGCAATAAGTTTATTGACATATATGATTATTATTTTATAGTCCTCCACGAGGAACGACTGCCTCATAAAGTATTTTATAAGTGAGATGTTCTGTGCGACCACGTAAGTCTATAATAGTCGATCTGCATGCAAAACAATCAATAGCCCGACGAGTTTTCATTAAGGCCCGGTCTTCTCTTTCTTCGGATGGTAACGTCTTTCTAGGCGTTCGGTCGTCAGTCTATCGCGCATTCTGTCGTACGACAGTCGCGTATCTTCGCGGGCGTCGCCGATCCATCCCCATGAGTAATTGAACGCGTCTCTCTCTTGGAGAAAACGCGTTGGGAAGATTTGCGCGTGTTGGCGCAAGTATCCCGCGAGATCTTCGATCGCTTTGTTCTCGTCTTCTATGCGCAGCGTCATTCTGATGACTTTCGCAATTATCGACCGTGTCGGACGCACG